AACATAAGGATTTACTTATTGTCCATGTAAAGCTTATGGATCCCTAGGTGTGGTTTTCTGTAATATACATTTGCACTCACATTCTCCAGTTGCCATTCATGGACCTCTGTCAGGGCCTTGTGGCCTCTCCACAAGGATTTGGCTAGTCTTTCATAGAGAAAAAGGTTCGATTTATTCTATGTTGTCTTGTTGTGTTGATCTCTTTCTGTTGGGGGGCAAGAGGGTCTTCCCAACAATTACATAACAGTTAATGTTCATTCTCTCAACAAATGTATTCAAACCTTAAAGTTCTCTACCAAATAGTAGAGCAATCAGATCATAGCAGGTCCACACCAGCAAAGTGAAATTAGTGTTCCAAGAGGTAACCATTATATTTGATCATGTTCTAACAGGACAGTGAAAAATTTCAAGAGCAAATGTTGTTTTCTTTAAAGCATTTCCAAATAGAAAACTTCATGTCAGTCATGAAAGAAAAACATTCCTTCACTCACAGGCCACTGAGGATCATATAAATATCTTTGCATCTGCTTCCAAAGGGTGACCACCACTGACACCCCTGGCAAAATGTTTTGTGAGGAACTCTCAGAAGAGTTCCTGGTATTTTCAGTGTGAGCTTGGTAGACATACTTGCAAAAACATTTGTGGATGCGGGGATGCAGTATTTTAAAAACATGTTGCTTTGGCTAAACTTGATAATCTTCAGCTGATATTGGGGATGTTTCTGTGTTTCTTTAACTCTTCACTAGGCCACTGGAGACTCTTCAGAGCCTTCCCTTTTTCAGGTCTCATGTTTAAGTATTAAGTCCAAAGGAATAGCTTTCCCAACATTTAATAGCCCTTTCCCAATCAATTGGCATGAAACATTTGTTTTGTTTTGGCACCAAATTTTGATGTTTATATAGTGGGACAGCTGAAGGAGTCTGTTTTATTGCGGTTCAGGAATAATTCCTTTTGTTCGAATCATAAGTATTCAAGCAGGCAACAAAGATCAGACATTTATATCAAAGTTAAATGGTCTATGGACAAATCATTCATCATGGTCCCCATCAGATAATATTTATTAAACAGCTGCATGAAGTCGCAAAATAACTCTTACTAATTGATGAAAACTGTAGTTACCTTGTTGTACTAATATATCTTTTTTTGCCTATATTATTTATTCTATACATTACCACCAGAATTATGTAGCTTTTGTTTATGGGGTTACTTTTAGCAGCTGAATGTGAAATGGGATAAATACAGATGCACTAACTTCAGAGGGTACTTTTTAAATAAAGAAAAATACTATGTGAATATTGCTAGTTTGTAGTTAAAATCAAAATAAATATTTCCACTGAATTAAAACACAACAATAAGTAACACTGTCAAGTTGTTTTAGTTATATATTTCAAAGTTACAGATGCTTATTAAAATGAGACAAAAAAATAATATTATTTAGATTCTTTACATCTTGATAGGGCCTGACTTAGTCAGCTCAGGCTACTATAACAGGATACCAAAGACAGGGTGGATTCTAAACAACAGAAATGTATTTCACATAGATCTGGAGGCTGAGAAGTCCAAGATCAAGGTGACAGCAGGTTTGGTGTCTGGAGAGAGCCTGATTCCTGGTTCACAGATGGTTCACACTTTGCCCTGTGTCCTCATATGGTAGAAGGAGCAAGGAAGCTCTGCAGGGTCTCTTTTATAAGGGTACTAATCCCATTTATGAAGGCTTTGCCCTTACAACCTAAACATTTACCAAAGGGTCCAACTCCTAATACCATAACATGGGGATTAGGATTTCAACATATGAATTTGAGGAAGACACAAACATTCAGTTTATAGCAAGGCCTAATGAAAATTTGTATTTATTCTGTACAATATTGTATTTTATTAATGTGCAGTAATTCTTTGTATTCTGTAATTTTTGTAATTTCAAAAGGTTCTAGTTTCCACCTCCAAATTAGAATCTGTTAAATAATCCAAATTATTTAATCCAAATCCAAAATTTTGGTTTTCAATCTAACCATTTTAACTTACATTGTCTTTTAGTGAATATTTAGTGACCCCCTTAAAATAAGTTTATATCATGTTTTAAAATATAATAATGAAAGTTTAGAAAAAAATCTTTGACATAATTGTTCAAATGAGGATTTCACTTTTAAAGTGAAAGATTCTTTAATTAAATCTTGCTGGGAACCTCTGCAGTTGAGGTGCAAAGTTAGTACAACAATTCAGATCTCTGAACTTGACACTGAAATTTTAGTGTATCAATCAGCAGTGAAATATTTTCCTCAGTATTCTTATATAGGTACTCTTTTCTCTGACCTAAGGTTTTTGTAATATAGATATTTCTTTTCACAGGGACTCCTAAAATTTGAAAACTTTACCCTTAAATTAGAAAAACTTTAATCTTCTACTAGCTTTTAAATTGTATCATTCCTCTTTTTTCATTGTTTAGGTTGGTGTCTGGAAAATCATACTAGAGTCCAAGGAGCTCAGTGTGTTAATCTCTGATGGGCTTAGCCTTGAACTAGATACTTAGTGAAATGTGATAGGCCCATATCTAGCCAAAGGTGGCCCTGGTTGACTCATCAAGACTGGATCCTTTGGTTACAAGTTCACAGTGCTAAAACAGTACTGAGAAGAATGGATCAGTAATACACGAATAAAACAAAACACACACAAATAACTAAGAAAGTAAGAGAGCTGTAGTACCCAAGTCAGGCAATGAAATCTGTGATTAGTGGAAGTGCTTTTGCTCTGGCTGCCCTAACTCTGACTTTCCTCCCATTGTCAGTATTCTGAGTCCTAACTGAGGTCACAAATTTGCTGCCCAGGAGCTTGTACCCAAGAAGTGGGGGAATCAAAACTTTTCTTCTTAAAATGTTAAGCTAATGAATTGATAGATTCCTGGGGACATTCGTTTTGTCTTCTTTCACATCATAGTTTTACAGTTAGAATGATATATGTCAGTACAAGCTTGAACTTTTTCCTGTTTTACAGTTGTCACCCTTTAAAGACTTCCCACACATACTCATTTTCCTCAAATCATGTAACAATCAACTCAAATCATCAGAAAAATAGCTTAGTAGCATTTGTTTTAATGAAATATAGTTCTAACCCTCAGAACCTATGAAATCCATCTTATTTTCTATTTCATCAAAGAACTTCAGGTAATATTAAAATCGTAATGAACTTGGTTAAACAGCACCAACTTCTTCTATAGAAGTCATTTCTCTCAGTCCAAAATTTTTGTTCTTCCTAAATCAATATATATTACAAATATCAATACATATAAATTCTCTAAGCCATCAACTCTCAATAACCATTCTATAGGTCAATCTCTGGACATTTTCTCATGTCCATTTGAATTTCCTTTTAATTTAGGATATTTCTGAGCTGCGTTTCTATTCCCTAAAGTAGATACATAAGAAATAAAAACACATTTTAAGATGAGCTGAAGAAGAGATTTGTTTTTAAAAAGAAGAGTTATTAAAAGGGCAATTTTTGGAAATCTGTACATAAAACATTCTAGTGATTGGGATGGTCATTAATTAATCCTCCTTTTTTTCCCCACAAAACTTCACAGAATAACTCCAAACTTAGGCTCTACTTAGTTTGCATGGGACTCAATGAAATAAAGCATTCAGCCACATAAGGTAGTAATTATTTGTAAGAAAGAAAGAAATTTAAAATAAAGTTAAAGAGCCACTTTAAAAGAATTTACACCATTAAATATGGAACACTATTACAGACATCCCTAGCCTCTGAAGGCATGTCTAATTCTAACCTCTCCTTTGGAGAAATGATGCACCGAATTCCAGAATGGGTGAATCAAAGACATTTATTTATTCACTTCTTAAACTATCCTAGAGGCTGTCAACTTGAGTTTTATGCAGAGGCACCTTGAATAACCATTTAGGTTATAAAGGTAATTGGGGAGTTTACATGGAAACAAACATTTTCATGAATGTTTTGAGAAGGTATATGAATTTTAGTTGCTCCAGAATGTTTTGAGTTATATTTTATGCAAGTGAGTAAACCTTAAGACAAAAGACAAGAGTTCAAGTTGTGGTAAATTTAATTTTGTACTTTAAAAATTTTCTTACTGAGATTTTCAGGATCTTCATGAAGTATGGTAAAGCACTGCAGTTGGACTAGGAAAAAGGCATCAAATAAATCTGCCTAGAAGCAAGTAATATTTCTTAAATGCCAACAAGTTGATTAAGAAGAAAAATGTAACATATCAGCTTAGAATATATTTATTATTTTAGAGGAAAACCACGGTTAATACCATTACCAACTTTTTAACTATTTAAATAAACTAATTTTAGGAGTAATTGTATAGTAATTTCAGAAATACTGTATATTTGGCATGTATAAGTTATAGCGACATACGGAAGTAAAATGCCTTTAAAGAATTTTTCAAGAATAAACTAATTTAGTGTTTGAATGAAAAGAACTGGAATGGAGATAGTAATAGTGACAAACTGATTTTTAAAAAATAACTCTGTTCTCTAGACTAGCATTAATTTTCTTTTTCGTACTTTTTTTAATGGCCAAACTTACGGCACAGTGCTAAAATTTCCCCACTTGGTCACTATATTATTTGTAGATGTTTTCCAATTTCAAAAGTAAGAAAAGTGATTTTTAAAAAACATATACGCAATACTTAAGCATTAATAAATAGAGAGATTTTACACCTATTGTTAATAATGAGTAGATAGATCCAGGAAATTTAAATATTATTAAATGATGCTTTTTAAAACAGGTCTAGATAAAGTCAAGCCAGAATGTTCTTTTTCTAAGTAGAGAAATTCTATGGTTGAGTCCACCATGTTAATTCCTCCTTTCGTTTGAGTGAGACAGTAGTGATAAACTGAATTTTTTATTCCATTCAATTATTATAAAAATTATGTGACAGAAAACCCTGCTAATAAAATGCAAGTGAACACTAAGAGGTAGATGACAGATTGAAATATTTTATTTAAATTTATATTTCTTTTTACCAATAGCTCACAGTACTATGAATGACACGGATGTCCCTATGGAAACAACTGAATGCATTCAAGGTCAAGGAGAAGGTTACCGGGGCATCATCAATACCATTTGGAATGGAATTCCCTGTCAGCGTTGGGATTCCCAGTATCCTCACCAGCATGACATAACTCCTGAAAATTTCAAGTGCAAGTGAGTAAATTAGAGAAATATAAATTTCAGTAGGCCCTGGGGGAAATGAGGCAGAGTGGTTGCTTTTTACTAATTTCTGTGTGAGTGATCCTTAAACTTTAGTGTGCCTAGGGAAAATTCAGCAATGAAAAGGCAGATACATCCCCCCAGAGACTTTGATTGCTCAGGTCTGAAATTTGGACTTGAAATAATACATTTTAACAAGCACTCTTGGTGATTCTGAATCAGATGGTTGATGTACCATCCATGCTTTGGGAAACACATCCCTAGGTTTCTGATCACAGCTTTGCTCTTGCAGGTCTATTTAATAAACCTATTAGTGGTAATGATAACCAGGCAAGTTTCAAAATAGTGCCTTCTTAAATTTTCATATTAACTTTAGGGGAGATTACAAGGCACACCTTGATTTCAACCAACATTGTAAACTGATGAGTTTTCAGCCTTGAAAAAAATTATTTTTAAAATTTTGAATGAGTGATTTTTATTGTTTCTAAATTTTCTTTAAAAAGTGGGGAAATACAACAGCTGTTTAGATGAACCAAGCGGAAGAAACTGCCCTTGAATATCAATTACATAGCTGTTATGTTCTTCTCCATGGCTGCTTTTCTTCACCACTTGACTTTTGTTAGACAGACAGCCACAATGCCATGTGTTTTTAAATTGCCCACCTTGTTATTAGGAACATAAAATGATTGCTTTTAAAATTTATAACACACGTGTCATTCATAGTGGCTTTGCTGAAATAGCACCTATAAATAACATATATTGCCTTTATGTAACTGGCTTTTAATAAGAGAGCTTAACATTTCAAGATGGAGAACTATGAACATTAGTTGGCCCATCCACTGGAGAGGGGATATAGTCTATGCTTTTTATTTTATTTTTAGATTTTAAAAGCCAATTCAGAGTTCTTTGCTTAGACAGTAAATATTCATCTGTTATGTTTTTAAAATTATTTTATAATAACAAATTTAGAGTTGCCACTCTGGGGTTTATTTCCTTCATTTTCTTCACAGCAATTCACTCTCTATTTTTGACCCATGTGTTTCATACCTCAGAAATAAACATAAAAGTAGAGAGAGAAAAGAAAATGAGAAACGAATAGTTAAGGGAGACAAAGGAGACTGTCAGTGCCATGCACACTTTTTGTCAACTTCTAATGACTGGTAATACTCAAGTTAGAGATTGTGTATGTGTAAGTACCCAAATGAACCTCATCTGTAAGAAAAAAGATAATAATTATAGAAATTGAATCCACACATTTCACAATTAAAAATGACCAAAAGTTTAGCTTACGTGTTATTGGAATTTAAGCCATTCTTTCTTAATTGGTTATTTGGTCAAGGTAACCAAACATAAATGTCAAAACAACCAAAAAGTGAGCTGTGTTATAAAACTGATAAAATCTGACTCAACATTTTACTCGGAGTATTGATGCCTTTACTGTTTGTGGGCTAGCAGAGAATGGAATACTGGTTGGGTATCTCTGATTGTACTAAACACGATATGCCCCAAAACTGAGACTCTTTACAAATGACGATCCTTAAAACACTATTTGTAGGGCAGGAATAGAGACATAGACGTAGACGTAGAGAACGGACATGTGGACACAGGGTGGGAAGGGGAGGGTGGGACAAATTGGGAGATTAGGTTTGACATAAATACACTATCATGTGTCAGATAGTTAGTGGGAATCTGCTGTATAGCACAGGGAGCTCAGCTCGGTGCTCTGTGATGAACGAGATGTGGGGGGCGGGGAGGGAGGGAGGTCCAAGGGGGAGGGGATACAGGTATACATATAGATAATTCACTTCATTATACAGCAGAAACTAACACAACATTGTAAAGCAATTTTACTCCAATCAAAACAAAACAAAACAAAACAAAAACACTATAACTGAACAATACTGCCTGTGGTGAATGTACATGAATCATATAATCATTAATTCGCTTTAATAATTATAAACACTTCTCTCTTCAAGTGAAGGGAAAGAACTTAGAAAAAATATTTGAGCAAACCTTGACTCTCATTCTTGCTTAATCTAGATTAATGAGGTGCTTCTCGATATAGATTATAAACGCAGGCCTAAACTAAGATTTTTGATAGCCTCAGATCTCTGTTTAATTATCTTGCCTTAAATTAACAACTTGAAATAATTTAACCAATTATTCATCTAAAATTGCAAATTTGCGTACACTTTATGTAAAATTCAATGCACGTATTTTGTACTGACAGTTTTTTTAAACATGAGTATAAATTGGTCAGAAGAAAGAAAAGATTTTCTTCATCATTCCAGTTAATAATTTTATAAGGGTAAAGGCTTGAATATAGGTTATAAATAAGAATAGTTGCTATACAATGGCCTTAGCTATTGGCATTCACTGTTCTTACAACCTTAAATAACAGGTGTGTCAGGACCTATTTTGGCTAGATAAACTATTACCTGTTGATTTTATAACCAAACTCAAGCTTCTTCTTTAAAAACTTTTCAGTTTCTAATGGTCAATTTGGATAGTAATAAAAGTGTAGTATTTTTAATTGGGCCTAAATGAAATAATGTACCTTCCAATAGACTGAATATTAATTTTGTTAAATTATTAGCAGGGATTTACGAAAAGAAAGTACATGCTTTCTTCAAATTAGAGAGCATTATCAGGAGAGCAAATCATAAATTTCACATTTTATTTAACGTGAACCTTGCATTAAGGTAAAATCCTTTTATATACAGATAATATTAGTTTAGACTTTTTTCTTATTGTGAACTCTAAATGTCTAACTATATCATTGGTAAAATAAAGGAAGTACATGTATTACATTGACAACTTTTTCTATAGTTAGGTTATCTATATTGTAATTAGGATTTACTTTTACAGAAATATAAAATTGCATGTTGTAATCTCTAAATCAAGAAAGAACTACGTTGGAATTAAAAGAAATCTATGTAGTGAATTAAATAAATCAAAGAAATACAGAATTTAAAGAAGAAATATCTGTCATGTGTTTTGTGGCAAATGTTTGAATAGGTGGAACTTCATTTTTAAACAAGATAAATTAAAGACTACTAATTATAATAGCCTTTCTTCTGTAAAGAGAATGTGTTTCTACGTTATATACAGTCCATGAAAAAGTAATAACAGACCAGTTTTTAAAAATTGTAACAGTTGAGAGTCCACGTCTTGAAAATGAGTGAGAAGAATGAAGTGGTACTATTTCTCTCTTTCACGAAGCAGTAGTGTTTGTGTGAAACTCCAGGTCTGTGGAAGAAAAAGAATTCTGAAATCTGACAGCATTTTATTTCAGTAATGTGGGCAGTGTCAGTTGTGTATACTGAATTCTAAACTGTTATAACTATCCTAAATCTAAAACGTAGGGCTCTATTTATAGAATGCATACATTCTAGGATTCTAGAAATGTAATAACACTGACTTCACCAATGTAAGAAACCCTGGCAATTTACATTAACATGTTTATTCTCAATAGGGACCTAAGAGAAAACTATTGCCGAAATCCAGATGGGGCTGAGTCACCGTGGTGTTTTACCACTGATCCAAACATCCGAGTTGGCTACTGCTCCCAAATTCCAAAATGTGATGTGTCAAGTGGACAAGGTAATAGCTGACATTTTGCAGTGTGGGCATGATTAAATTCAATGGAAATGCCTAAATGGAGTACACATTACAGCAGAAGACTTATTTCTTGTTGCACTGTTAGCAAACAAAGTCACCAAGCCTGAAGTTGGATTTCTTTTATATATTAATTTGTTCAATATCCCTTTATTTATTTGAATGTATACTAGTGCCAGGGACAGTTTTAGGCACTGTGGATATACCAGTAAACAAAACAAAATTCTCTGACCCCACTGAACTAATGTCCAGGAAACAAAAACAAGCAAAATTAAAATGTAGGTGGGGGGCTTCCCTGATGGCGCAGTGGTTGAGAGTCCGCTTGCCGATGCAGGGGACACAGGTTCGTGCCCCGGGCCGGGAAGATCCCACATGCCGCGGAGCAGCTAGGCCTGTGAGCCATGGCCACTGAGGCTGTGCATCCGGAGCCTGTGCTCTGCAACGGGAGAGGCCACAACAGTGAGAGGCCCGTGTAATGCAAAAAAAAAAAAAAAAAAAAAAGTAGGTGGGGATAGTAAGTTAGTTTGTGTAAGTGCTAGAGAGATAAATGTCCCAGAGTTAGAGGGAGGAGGATGTTGCTATTTTATCTTTTAATGGTCTGAGAAGATCTTACATATTAAGGTAACATTTAAGGAGAACCTGAAATAAGTCAGGGAGCAGCATGTGCCACGTGCACATACTTGTAAAGAGCATTCTAGGTAGAGGAAACTGCAAATGAAAATGGCATGAGATGGGAGAGTGCTTGAAAAGTTAAAAAAGAAACAGCGCATCATTGTGGCTGGTACAGAATGAGCAAGGTTAGAGAGCAACTGGGCTAAAATTCTATAAGCCTAGTAGAAACTGGAAGGATTTACACTTCTATTCTGAAAGGGGAGAGACTCTGTTGTAGGATTCTAAGATGGGAACTAAATGATCTGTCTGACTTAAATTTTAACTGGATGACTCTGGCCGCATTATGAAAAATAGCCAGAACTCCTGACAAAGGGCCAAAACGGGAATCAACTGAATGATTGCTTCAGTAATTTAGGCAAGAGACGAGAGTGATGTGGACTGGGGTGTTAGTAGTAGAGATGATATGTAACAGTGGGATTTGGGATAAATCACCATTGTGCTTGGAAACATAGACACCATTGAAAATAATTGTTTCATGGAGCAGTGGTTGAGAAAAGTCACATTGAAATAGGTTTAAAAAATCATTTGTCAAAAATTAATAATAATGGGCTCTGGGCATTTATTGGTATATAATGAATTAGGAGTTATGATTTTTAAATAATCACATTCTTTCACATAAATTTAATTATGATGGTCGTGGCCATGGTCAGTCCTAAATCATTCTAAAAAGTCCAAGCCAAATTTAAAACTCTATTTCATGGATTTATTGCCCTGTACATACTTCTTCCATCCCCTGACTTTCCTCAGTGCCATTTTTTGTGAACAACTCGGAAAACAGTTGTAGAGGGAAGAAGAGATGAGTCCCTTTTCAATCAATTTCACTGTTCTTGGGCAGACTTTAAAGGTCAGTTGGAAATAAAGTTGAAACCAATGATTAAGGAAGGTTTGGTACCAGCTGGATCTTCTTTGTCCCTGCCTTAGTCATTTAAACAATTACTGATAATTTCTGAGTGATAGAGGCAAGTGAGAACAATTGTTTTATAAGCTTCTGATGTGTATTAAGATGCTTTTATGTACATAAATATCACTTATCAAAGATCAGGTAATAGAATATGAGGATTTGGGGTTTTGAAAGTTAAGCTGATGTTATTGCTTATATAATAGAGCTGCACATTAATAGATGAAGAAATTAGCTTTAGGGAATTTAAATAACTTGCCTGAACTCTCAAATTAGCACAACTGTGAGTCACTCAAATGCTCCTTAAAATGACCTTTCCATTACTCCATGCTTTTTCCTTTTCATTAATACTTTAACAATATATTATATTCCTTTTCTTTAACAATATATTATACCTGATTTATGCAACAATGTGCTAGGCTCTGTGGGGCAATTTGAAAATGAATAAGTCCTACTTAAGAAACACTGTTAGCCAATTCAACATACAGCTGTGAAGTTTTAACAGAGAGTTATGTCATTGTATAATACTGCCAAGCTAGTAGTATGGATTGTTACATATTTGATATGTATGCATGCATGCACACACACACACACACACACACCAAAAGGATGTTGCTCTTATCCTTCTCTATATAGAAGGAAATATAAATTCCACATATAGGTTGATGAGTTAAAAACTTTTGCTCAAATCTTGCAACATCTGATTTAACATATATATAAAAGCTCTTCCAGTTGGATATTAAATAACTCTGTTAAAAAAAAGAAAACTGAAATTGCAGAATTTCTTTAAAAATACTGATAAAACACAGTGTATTATACTATGTAAGGTACATTTAAGGCAGGAAACAAAACACAATTCACAGCTTTAAATATTTATATCAATAATATACATAATGAAGACAGGGAAATGAAATTTCCCACTCAAAGAGGTGGAGGAAAAAGTAAAACAAAAGCAACACATGAAAGAAAACAACTAAGATAAAAGCAGACATTAATAAGGTAAAGAAAAGAAAACAGTAGAACTAATGAATAAAGCCAAATGATGATTCTTTGAAAAAATTAACAAAATAGACAACCACCAGATAACTGACTCAAGAGAGGAAAAATATATGAAATAATAATTATGAAGGCAGAAATAACCAGTGAAACAGGAAAACATGAGATTATTTTATACAACCTCATGTAAAAACTGAAAATGAAAGTTAAATGGGTAATATACTAGGATAATTCAAGTTATTTGAATTGACCCTGATAGAGAAAGAAAACTTAGACTCATTCCTACAGAAGAGACATGGAAATTTACTAATAAAATATTCCACCACAAACACATCATGCCTAGATGAATTCATAGACCAGGTGATCTCAATGCTATGTAAATTGCCCTGTAGCTTAACCAATGCAGTAAAATTTCCAAATTATTTTTATGATGGAATTATAATATTGAAACCTAAACATGATAAAGGTATCACAGAAGAAAACTATAGACATCTCATTTGTAAATATTAATAGAAAAATCTTAAATGAAATTTGAGTGAACAGTTCAATAAAGAAATTAAGTAAATAATACATAATGATTGAGTGGCGTTTAGGCTGAGAACAAAAATGGTTCAGTTTTAGAAACCCATTAATATAATTCATCTTAGATGTAAGAAAAACAACCATATAACAAATCTTAATAGATTTTGAAATTACTGTGACAAAATTCATGCATTTTTCATAAAAGTACTCAAGAATCTGTGGAATACACACATACTTACACACACACCCATATATCCACTCATATATATATATGTGTATATATATATATATATATATAGTACATACATATAGATATATAGATGTAGATGTATCTCAGTCATAAAACCACCACTTACTTGATGCGAAAACATTAGAGGTATTCTTACTAAGGTCAAAAAGAAAACAAGAATGTCTAGCATCTCCTTTACTATTTAATATTGTAAATATAATTTAACATTATATTTCTCTTTAACATTGCATTGTTGATATTATTTTTTACAATAAGATAAGAAGGCATATTTATTGATTGGGTAAAAAGGCAAAAGATTTTTGTGAAAATGATATAATAGTAATATACTTGGAAATCTGAATTCAAATAATAAAAAAATCACTAAGGTAGCAGGATACACAATTAATATACAAATATTAATAGCATTCATATATGGTTTTGAAAATCTAATTAAAGAGAAAACTACATCTATAATAGGAAACAAAACTGAGAAAAACTTAGGAATAAACTTAGGAAAGTTGTTGAAATCTATGTAATTAAATTTTAAATTACTACTGAAAGCCCCAAATTGTACTTTAACATGTAGAAAAACATCCCTTGTTCTTGATATGAGAACTCAACATCATAAATACATCAATTCCATCTAAGCTAATTTGTAAATTTAATGTGATATTTTCTGATATCAAAAACTTCATTCTAAATTTTTCCTAGGAGAATAAACATGTAACTATACTAAGAAAAACCTTGAGAAAGAAGAGTGATGAGAGGTAAATAACCCTATCAGATGTTAAAATATTTTATAAAGAGTTTATAATTAAAAGAATGTAGTTCTAGCACATAAATAAATTGACAGAACACAGAATCCAAAAATAGACTCCTTACTGAGATTACATTTAAAATGTGGCACTATATGTCACTGGGTAAAAATAAACTTTTAAAATATAATAATGGATCAATAAAGTACCGTTTGGAAAAATAATAAAATTAAATCCATGCCTTACACCATACCCGAAAATAAACTCCAAATGGATAAGAGATGTAGTGTAAAAAGGGATACCATATATATACTAGAAGTAAACTTGGAAAAATGCCTTTATAACTTAGATGTGGCGATATGCTTTTAATTAACACTAAAAATCTAAAGGCAATAAAAGAAAAAAATAATAAGCTACATCAAAAACTTGCCATGGCAAAAAACATAAACAAACCCATCATATTTAAATTCAAAAGACAAATTTGGAAATAAGTCTTAAAATGTATATCACAGATAAAGATACATATTTTTAATATATAAAAACTGTGAAAGCGAAAGGTATAGGACCAAAAAATTAAATAATGGACAAAATACATGAACAGAAAGATTTCTTTAGAGAAAAATATAAAAATTCCCTTAAATACATGAAAATTATGCTTAAATTCACATGTAACAAGAAAAAACTAAAATATAAGTGTTGAGATTTTTCATAATATGAGACTTTTATTTCTCACATATAAATTCACAAAAATTCAAAAGCTTGACAACACTATCTTGGCAAAGCTGTATGGGGAAATTAACTCTCATGCTTTGCTCTTGGGAGTGCAAAATGATAAAAATCCTTATGGAACAGAATATTACAATAATTAAATTACATATACATTCACCTTTTGGACCAATAATGCACTATTTGAATATACAGCTCCAATAATATGCAAAAACATATGCACGAGTTTTTCATTGCAGCATTTTCTGTACTAGCAAAACAACCCAAATCTACTCTGGCGAAATCACACAATGGAATACTGCAAATTTGCAGAAAGAATGATAAAACTTTTCATGAACTAATATGAAGTGATTTTCAGGTATATTATTAATTAAAAAAAAAAAAGCACTAAAATATATATTTGGTATTCTATTAGTAATAAATAAACGGATTTACTACTAGTAATAAAGAATGGGATATAAAAATACATATATAGTATATACATATAATTATATATTTATATTACATATGTATGTGTGTGTGTATACATGTTTGCCAAAAAAGTAAAAAAAAAAAAAAAAGAAATACAAGAGCCATAAACAAGAAACTAATGAAATTGGTTACTTGTAACGGTGGGTAGTAGTGGGTAGAAATATGACACAGAAGCAAGAGGGAAAATGAGAACACTCTGAATACACACTTTCATATAGTTTTGACTATCAACCAATATTAATGTTTTAATAATGCTTTAAATGTTCAAAAAGTAATCTCAAGAAAGATGGAAAAAAACACGGAAATGTGCCTATCTGTATATCAAATAGATACCATTACTACAGAATTTAGAAAAAAATTCCAAATAATTTTTAAACACAATTTTCTGACTATATATAGCCTCACTGGAATACATTTAAAGTTAGATAACTTTAAATACCTTTTGAACTTTAAAGTGTAATTTTGCTGTATTAGGATGTAGCAGCTTTAACATTATTTTGTGTGCATTGGAGAATTCAGAAAATGAGGAAAAATACTGATGTTACCTAGAATCATGGTTCTCACTATGGGAGAAGAAATACACAAATGAAGAGGAGACAAGGAAGAACTCTGGTGCTAGACTGGAGTCAGAGGGATCAGTTACTCATGAAGACACACACACACACACACACATGCACACACTTCCCAGCTCTATCAAATGAAAGGGACTAGAAACAATGGTACCAAATAGCAATGAGCACACATAGCACCCACGTCTTCTCCTTACCTTTCATCACTAACATAAACAATGGCTCCTTGGTGAAATTGAAGATTCCAGGCCTGGGGCAAGAAAAACATAAAGTGAAGCTGGAATATCTTATGCCAGCAAGTTAATAAGTGCTCAAAATTTATGTCTTCCTCTCAAAAACCCATAACCCAGATCTAATCATGAGGAAACCATCAGACAAACCCAACTGATGGACATTTTACAAAATACTAGTTCTCCTTAAAACTGTCAGGATCATCAAAAAACAAAGTCTGAGAAAACTGTTACATCTAGAAGAGCCTTAAAAATCATGACAGTTAAATGTAAGGTGGTATCATGTGGGATCCTAGGACACAAAAAAGTACACTAGGAAAAAACTAACAATTTAAACAAAATATAGGTTTCTGTTAGTAATAATGCATCAGTATGGTAAATAGTTGTGAGAAATCTATCATACTAATATAAGATAGTAAAAGTAGGGGGAACTATGTGGTATATTAGAATTTTCTGTACCAACTTACAACTTTTCTGTAAATTAAAAACTATCCTAAAAAAAGTTTGCTAAGAAAAAAAACACCTAGCTCATATTCAAATAAAACGGTGGTAGTGGTAAGGAGGATCTCTTTCTCTAATACAGAAAACACAGGTGTAAAATCAAAAATGTATCAAAGAGCAGTACCAATATATCACATTGCACAATTGTTTTCTTCAGTAAGAAATTATCTGAAGAATTTACTACCTAACAGCCCGAAGTTTAACCTTTCCTAATGTAGAAAAAAATAGCACTGTCAGAGGAAAATATTTTAACTGATATATTCTGCATATGTACAAGAATTGGATTTTACAAATTTATGCTTTCTGAAAACAATTTTATTGTATATGGTAATGACTGATATATTATCTGTATCAAATCCTATCCTATTTGAGTTTTTCTATCTAAGTTCAAATTTATGGATATCAAAACATGACTATTGAATATATTATTATATTTCCTTTTTACTAAATTAACTAACTCCTGGACAAATTATTATTCATTTAAAAATTTTATTAGAATTTGTACCTATTATTTATTCTAATCACATAGCATAATTAAAACCAATGATAATATACTATGGCTTACCAACTTTAAACCAGAGAATAATCTTAATGTTAACGTACGTTTGTAGATAATATTTTATAGTTAAAACTACAGTTTTTATTCATATAAAAATCAGAATTCTTAAATAGTTACTATTAAAATATGCAGGATTATTTCAAAATATGGAATAGTGTTTCTTTTCAAATGTAGAACTGCAACTTACATATTTGAAAGAACTTAACTTCTTTTTATTATTTTTTAAAATTCCAAATACGGACACTTCTATAAATGTTTAATAGAACGCAAACTGCTCAGTTGAGAAAAAGTGAAAAATAAAACCACATGGGAAATGATAAAAGACACAGGAGCCATTTTAACATGGCTTCCATTGGCTAAAGATGGAACAATATGAGCATCAAAATGAACAACAGGAATAGATAATATATCATGCTGAATAAAAAGAGAATCCATGAGTCCATATTTACATTACTACTTCTACTAGAAGACTACTACTACCACTGCTACTACTACTAGTAGTAGTACTACTACTTAAATGGAAGGAGTAGAGGAGAAGGAAAAACTTTCATTTACAGAAGAATAACAAGAAAGAAAGAAAAGTAGGAAATAAAAAAATCATTTTAAAACCAGCAGAGTAATAACTGATTCATGCAAAATTAATCAAAGTATGCCTAAGCCATTTTGTGAAAATTTGTTTGGGAATAGGATGTAGTCAGCCTCAAAGGCCTCAAAATTTTTTTGTTTGTTTATCTTATATATGAAGAGAAGTTTTTCCTTTATACCACTTAACCAAGTTATCAAACTCATCAACGATAATTGAACAAACTGCCATCATGTGTCACATGAAATAATCCTGAAAAAAGGACAAAATATCACCTAGGCAATATTTCTGTATTTAACTTGATTTCATTCATGAGACACTAATGAGGCAAAATGAAATTAAAGAGCATTTGTGAAACAGCTGGCTTGGATGACTCAGAATGTCAATCTCACGAAAGACAAAAATCAAAACACAACAAATGTGACTGGTATATGAGTGCTCATTATATCATTCTTGTGACTTTCCTGTGGAGTAAAATTTTTCAGAAACTATTGGAAAATATAAGTCACTCACAAAATTCTCATTTCTTTGGTGTCCCTAAGAGCCACTCACTTAATTTTTTCTTTGAATTTGTAATTTGATACATAAACTTTCATTTTAATGAAGAAGAAATTTGACTAAAAATAAAGATATTTTATGAGAGATAGTTAAGTGTCTTTGCTTTGTACAGATTTCAGTGCTTTGTTTTAATTTTTATGTTGATTTTCATGAATTCATATGCTTGTAAAAGAAGTCTTTGTCCTATACTCCCTAGTATTCATTAGTCTTCTTTCCATATATTTTATGTTTAGATTGTTATCGTGGGAATGGCAAAAACTATATGGGCAATTTATCCAAAACACGATCTGGACTAACATGTTCGATGTGGGACAAGAACATGGAAGATTTACATCGGTATGTAAATTTCTTTCTTTCAATATATAGTATGTAGTGATAACAGCAAATAGGTATATTGAGGTACATTGGTATTTCTTTCTATTCATTTATATATTATAGTAAGCTAATAAAAACATTCGATTGATCGTTCTGTGCAACTCAATTTAACATTTTCTCTCTACGTGGCAAACTTAAATAAACAATTCAAAGCAGTACATATTTATTGAGGATTTACTATGTGTTCTGCTGTGTAACAGGTGCCTCGGGAACATTAACAAAAAGAACATTAACATACATTTGGGCTCCACCTTTAAGCATGATATAGTCATACGGAGAAAACAATTACACAACTGGATAAGATATTGTATAATGAAATGCCAAATCTAGTGTTTCAAATAGTATATTATAGGATTATATTCTCATAATTATTAATATTAGTTTATAAAATTGATAAGTGACCATCTTCATGTATATACACACCTTAAAATTCCACTTAACTACTAAAAACTTATTGAGACATGTTTCCTTGTATAGCTTTATTCTGATACACATGATTTTTCTATAATTAAAGAAATGGATATGTAATTGAAAAAAATCTATATATTTCAGAGAATTAGAGATTTTGACATTGGACATATTCACAACAAAAGCAGTTATCTTCCACTTGACCCCAGCAGTAGTGCTAGTGTGTTTGAAATTACAAAAGACGTATGAGACATAGTTGCAACATAGAACAGAGTTTTATTAAATATCCTGGAATATATACAGCAGGATTAAAAGAAAAATGGTAGTGTCATTTTTTTTTTTTTGCGGTACGCGGGCCTCTCACTGTTGTGGCCTCTCCCGTTGCGGAGCACAGGCTCCGGACGCGCAGGCTCCGGACGCGCAGGCTCAGCGGCCATGGCTCACAGGCCCAGCCGCTCCGCAGCATGTGGGATCTTGCCGGACCGGGGCACGAACCCGTGTCCTTTGCATCAGCAGGCGGACTCTCAACCACTGCGCCACCAGGGAAGCCCACTAGTGTTATTTAATAAAGTATCTACAACATGGTTGCTTTCTGTGAGTTGTTATCTCATTTGACCATCATAATCCTATATGGAAGATATTTCTGTATGTGTGAATAAGAATTTAAGGATCCAGAGAAGTTGAGTCATTTTGCTCCTGGTTCCACTTTAGCTTTAAAGTTCTTATTCTCTTTCAAAATTTACTCACTAGTGGATGGTATTTTTTCGACTAATTTACTTCACAAATAGTGATAGTTATAAAGCAGTGTTCTCTAACATAAATATGCAACTGACATATGTAATCGCACTTGTACTTTTTAAGTTTTCCAGTAGCCATACTTACAGAAGTAAAATTAAACAGGCAAATTTTTAAAATAATGTTTTTATTAATCCAATATTTCTAAAGCTTTTCATTTCAATATGTATTTAACATAAAAACTATTAATGAGCTATTTTACATTTTTATATTAAAGCTACAAAATTTGTTGTATATTTATAATTATAGCACCTTTCAATTTGGACGAGCCACATACTAGCTTTTCTGTGGTTACTCTGGCTAGTAGCTACTGTATTGGACACTGTAGCTCTAGGACTTCAAAGTTAAGCAGAATTCTGACATCATGGATCTCACTCTAGTATGGAATGGCAGAAAACAGCAAATGCCAATGTCATATTAGAAAATCCACGAAAAAAGCATATTTTATGTTATGGGGCTGCAAACAAGTGACACCCACACTTAAATGGTCAGGAAGTTTTCCTACAGGAAGGGATGTTAGTTGGGACATACGTAATAAGAAGGAGTTAGTCAAAGGAAGTGTAGGAGGAAAAGTACATCAGGCAGAAGAAATAACTTGTTCAAAAGCCCCAAAATGGAAGTGTATAAAAATCAGAAATAACTTTAATAAGTTTGAAACAGTATAATTTGGTTAATGTCCAGAGAAGAAATTCTCCAGTGGCAAAACCATACAGGACCCTGTAAGCTGTGTTAAGAAATTTGAAGAAAAAAGAAACGAAATTGAGTTATTTGTAGTGAGGTGGATGGACCTAGAGTCTGTCATACAGCGTGAAGTAAGTCAGAAAGAGAAAAACAAATACCGTATGCTAACACACACATATGGAATCTAAGGGAAAAAAAAAAAAGGTCATGAAGAACCTAGGGGTAAGACGGGAATAAAGACACAGACCTACTAGAGCACGGACTTGAGGATATGGGGAGGGGGAAGGGTAAGCTGTGGCAAAGTGAGAGAGTGGCATGGACATATATACAATACGAAACATAAAATAGATAGCTAGTGGGAAGCAGCCGCATAGCACAGGGAGATCAGCTCGGTGCTTTGTGACCACCTAGAGGGGTGGGATAGGGAGGGTGGGAGGGAGGGAGATGCAAGAGGGAAGAGATATGGGAACATATGTATATGTATAACTGATTCACTTTGTTATAAAGCAGAAACTAACACACCATTGTAAAGCAATTATACTCCAATAAAGATGTTAAAAAAAAAAAGAAATTTGAGTTTTATCCTAAGCATTAAAGGAATTCATTCAAGAATTTTAAGCAAGAATTGGCATGATTAAAATTAATGCTGATTTCAACACTGATATTTTTAAAAGCATTTTTAGAAATATGGTGGGGTGGATCTAGCTCTTCACGGACTTGTGAAAGACAACTGTAACCAACTCTGCCTTCAGTGATTCCATATTAGAAGTCTGACAGTTTTATGGTGGAAGTAGTTACAGTTACACTACAGAAATATGCAAGAACAACAAATAAAGACCCTCTGCCCCCATACACACTTCAGAGTGCTAGTTGTTAAACATTTACCAGCATACCACTGGAAACACGTCACATATTTATTCAGGGATGCAATGGTTATAACTCAATTCATTGAGTTTAGGTTTGCCTTTGGAAATAGTTAAAAGTCATTTGGAACCAACTTGTAGGATACTGATGAATGATTAAGTTGCACGGTACCATTTTGGTTTAAGTACAAACTGTGACTGAGTAAAGAGGTAACACTGTGTGGTGGTTTTGAACACTGACTCTGGAAAGAGCCGTGTGTTCAAACACTTGTTCTACAGCTTAAAAACCATGTGACCCTAGAAAAATTAATTGTCCTCTGTGGATTTCAATTTCGTCAAATACAAAATTGCATAATCTTCAAGCCTGTCTCATCAGGTTGGTCTAAGGGCATATATGTAAGTCATCTGTAATAGAATATGTCACATAGTAAGTATTGTATGTCTTTACTGTCGTATTGGTCCAAAAAGTAAATCCAAGTTTAGTAAGATAGCTCAAGTTTCTATGTTGAAGCTCTTCCCAGTTTTTTAAAATGACACATTAATTATGTTCAAGCATGGTAGTAATTAGTAATCCAAAACAAATTAAGTTAGGATGTATAGTTTTCATGACATGGTCAGGATGGCCATGTGGAATTTGACTTCTTTAATGTTACTGAGGTAAATGTAAATATTGATGTTATATGAGTGGGCATGGTCTTATAACATAGAGTATTTTTGCTTTACTTCTGTAATAAATTTAGTTAAGATGTAAAATGAGAAAGGCTGAAGTGTTACTCAATTATCTGTCAAAAAATCATATTTTGTAACTATATGACCAATGAAATTTTAGAATTTAATAATTTTATTAGCACATTATTATTGTTTTCCGTGTATCTTCCAGTACGTTGTCATAGTAATGTTGCTAGTGATGCTTCTTTACATGTTTCTGAAACATGAAAAAATACTTTTGCAATAGCTTGCATTTTCTATGCATTTTCTAACTTAGATCTTTGTCACAGGGGTATTGTTACCTTGCCAGTATAGTTATTAAATAGAAGCAAAGTCATAAGATCTTTTATCACTTTATCTATGCTGATTATTCAGCCTTATTCCTGAGTTAAAGAACATCCTTCCAAACTGCAAGAACAACAACAAAATAAGTCTCAAAAAAAAAAAAAAAAAACAAAATTCACAGCAGGTAGCTTGTGTTGTATCTGTAATGAAAGTTATGCACTAGGATTATATCTTCTTCGTGACATTTTGTTTCTCTTGGACAAGATGTGCATTTTGTGATGTTCAGAGTTTGTTGTTTATGCAGGCATATCTTCTGGGAACCAGATGCTAGTAAGCTGAATAAGAATTACTGCCGCAATCCTGATGATGATGCCCATGGTCCCTGGTGTTACACGGGGAATCCTCTCATTCCTTGGGATTACTGCCCTATTTCTCGTTGTAAGTATATTTTGTGATCTTTTTCAGGTGAACCATTTTAAGTATACTGCATGCCCTCTAAAATGATACCTTAACCAGAGGTGGAAATAGTATAGGAGGGCTAGAGTTGATCCCAAAATAAGGATGCATTCCAGACAGCAACACACATACAACTTCATCTCTCCTCTAGACAAGGGGACAATCTGCTGAACTTTTAAAAGAGATTTTCCTCCCTCAGAAGATTTCTATTTGGAATTCAGAAGTAATACATGGCCATTGTTCTGACTGGGCTAGACAGACCTCTCCGCCCCCCACCCCACCAATAAATACTAACTGTTCAGCCTCTGAAAGTAGCAGAGCTCTTAGCAAAGTCCCCAGCCCACTAACAGGCCCATAAACACATCAGAGATAGTTGTGCTTCCATTATCTTCTCAGCTGTTTAGGCCAAGACTAAGAAGCCTAAAACATTCCATCTACTTCTCTGAGCCCAAGATGATTTTGTTTAAAAAGTATTAGCACATAAAGTAAAAGATATACGTAAAATGTATAATATATGTCTGATACACTTCATGTAAAAGAGCACCTATATAGCAATAAGTAAAAGATGAGATGATTCGAGAAAACTGAAGATGAATCTTCAAGAATAAACTTAATAAACAAATGAAAAGATGTTAAAACTTAATAGTAAGAAAATATAATAATTATAATGAAAAGATAAAAGCATAAGAAATCATTTCCACCTATCAGGTTGGCAAATAAGAAGGTGATTGCTAATGCCTAATATTAGTGAGAACCTGGGTAATCAGACTCTCTCAATACTGTGCTGCTCTGTGTACTGGGAAGCCTGTATTGAAGTCAGTTTGGGGAAACGTATCAGGATTTTCAACCTCTGCACGACTGACATTTTGTGCTGGATAAACCTTTGTTATGGGAGGCTGTCCTATGCATTATAAGATGTTTGGTAGTGTCCCTGGCCTCTACCCACTAGATGTCAATAGTATCACCTCCACTGAGAACTGCTAATGGAGAGTAATGTATATTGAGATGAAAATATATCCTCAATATGTTATTGATTGAGTGAAAAAGACTTATAAAACTCTCTTAGTAGCAAGAGACCATTTTACTGTAGTACATGTCTCACAGCTCTGTTTATAGTAGATATCTATTTTTTTTTTTTTTGCGGTACGAGGGCTTCTCACTGTTGTGGCCTCTCCCGTTGCGGAGCACAGGCTCTGGATGCGCTGGCTCAGCGGCCATGGCTCACGGGCCTAGCCGCTCTGCAGCATGTGGGATCTTTCCGGACCGAGGCACGAACCCATGTCCCCTGCATCGGCAGGCGGACTCTCAACTGCTGCGCCACCAGGGAAGCCCTATAGCAGATATCTTTAAACACTATGTTAAACTGCCTTCTTGTTTAAAAAAGACTCGTTTTATATGTTCAATAAGAGTCCTGTTTTAAGAATATTTTTCACGTGAGACAAGGCAGTAGCAAGTACCTTGAAAATAGCAGCAAAAATACTCACTTTAAAAGAGATTAGATTAAGAAATGATATTTGCTTTAAAACATAAAACACAAACACAAGTCTATATTTTCCATAATATACATCAAATTAAAGAGATAATTTCTCACCATAAATTGTAACACTAGTCACGTTTCCTGAAATTTTAGCATAAAAGCAAACTTTTAAAATATGATGTTAATCAATTATATCTATAGTTAAAACTTGGAACTTCGCAATCTATTTTTAATTAAGAAATTTTCTATAATAGTAAGTAAATATCTTATATGTTCACAAAGAAATAGTATTTCATATTGTTATATTTCATTTCATCAGCTTTAATCATAGCCTTTCAAATTAATTAGTGTTCTCCTAATGTTCCTAATTTATCCCAGATTAGGGTTTGCATAGGTCCTGAAAATGTTCTTTTATAGAAGATGTCTTTCTGGTTTTAACATTAAAATAAACAAGCAAACAGACCAACCTTTCCAACCTCTCTGGTGTACAAAAAAATTTTTTTAATGGTGAAAGTTGTTATTTTTTCTAAGTATTAGTTTTATTTCATGGTACCTCTTTGTGAAGTTTCTACGATTAAGAATAATGGAGGCTAATAGACTCTTCAATGACCTAGGAAGAAGGATAAAAGTCAATGACCTGGCTTCTAAAACAAGTTCTATTGCTTTCTCTATAGAATTCCAGATTTCTAAAAATCACAGTAGCCTAATTTTAGTACGTAGATATAGTTAAGAGTAAAATGTTCCCATAGAGAACTGTGATTTGGCTTATAAATTTGAGACAAGACTCTAATAACTTTAAAGTTTTTAAAGCATATTTTCAACTAACATTTTTAAACTAAAAGTAATGTGCTATTGAAAGACTTCAGCGTGTTGCTAGTATTTGATTAAATGCTACTGCAGATAACTCATTTATTTCAATGTATTCTGAACATTAATTAATTTCAACAAATATTTCTACACTGTCATTTTTCTAAATAATATTTATAGCCAGGATTTATTTACAGTTTTCTTGCTGGTGAAAGGCTAATAAAATTTATCTATAGAAGATTTGAGTTCTTATTTATTTAACTTCAGAGACTATATATCATTTTCATACTGCACATTTGTATTACAAACATGTAAAGGTTTGTATTCCTTTTAAAAAAATGCTTACAAAATAATATTTAACATATATTTTTAAGGTTCTCAAGATGCAAAAATAAAACTGTAGAAATGTCTATATTTGTCTATACACATATACACAGTATATCTTAGAAAATTCTTAAGTATTAAGAGAGCATAGTGGTTTAGAGTTTCAACTCTGATTTCCTGGGTAAGGATTTCAGTTCTATCACTTTAAGTGCCTTGGGTAAATTACCTCCACCTCAGTTTGTATTTATTTATTCATTTGTTAATAATTTTAAATTGTGCTCCTATTGTGTGCAAAGCCCTATATATCATTCTAGGTATAGAAAATATAAACAATGTTTCCTACGCTCAAATCGTTTTCAGTGTACAGAGGAGACATTTTACATACATAATCGCAAATAAAGTCATTTAAATACATACATATTAATATTAAAATATATAATAAGAATGGGAATACAAATGTCAGCGTGGAAAAACGTGTGCTGTTCATAAAGTTTCGAATTTGAGTTGAAACTTTAAGGATCTATTAAAAGAAAGTTTTATTTATGTTTTCAGTAAGAGCACATGTTTGGTTCTGAGGCCATACACACACACACACACACACACACACACACACACACACACACACACTCCTACACTTCCATAGGAAAAACTTTTATCATTGACATGTTTTCCTTCTTCAAATTTAAGGTGAATCAATATAAAGTAAGATTTGTATCATATATAGTTGTTCAGATTTGAGTACTATGGTGGAGATGTAAGGGAAAAGTAAAAGAGGAGAAGTGAAAATAGTATTTTAAGGTAAAATGGAAAAGGCCTAGAAAGCAGAAGAAACTAGAATGCTTTCAAAAAATTCATAATCTAACCAGCAACTCAGAATCTCTAGAAATCTGATTTTAAGTGGTAATGCAGCTTCTTCTAAATTGTGAGAAATGTTGGCTTAGAGGAAAATCTATATATATATACTCTTAATTATTAAAGCCCCTAAATGATAAGATCTACACATTTTAAAAAATTTAAATATTTTAGTAAGGTACAATAATGAACGAAATACTTTGTTGATGTATTAACTTGATGCATAGAAATCGGAAACTTGATATGCAGTTAAGAATACAATGAATAGTGTAGTCTTTCTCACCACAAACGATACAAAGAATAGATATCTAGTTTTTTATTTTAGAATTTTTATGTAAATAACTTGAGTGGAAAAAGCAATATCCTTGATGTTTTAATGACCACAGTTGGCCTCCATCCTAATTTGTACTGTGAACTAAAACAATGACCTCAGGTGACTAAGACAAAACCATCCCCAAGAATAAACTAAAGGGAAAGGGAAATGATGAAATTTGTATGTTTACGCTTATTCACTTAAAATATCTAGATCTGGAAAATGGACATAAATAAAAACGCTTTAGCATGTATTAATTTTCTCAAGATTTCCCATAAATAAAAATCAGATTTGCGTCTATTACAAAGGAATCCATAGGCCATTTTTGTTTTGTTGCCGGTTTATTTGAGCTCAGGGCACTTCCAGAGACTAACAACCAGCTGGGTCTAAACAATGCCTGACTAAACTCTATGTCATCAGTTTTGGACAGTCACACACTAAATTCCAGGAAATGTACTTCATTCATTGCTACTTAAGTATTTTCAAATCCTAGCATCCTCCAAGCCTTTCTCTTGGCAGCAATTAAACCCCACTCAGTAGGGAGGTTGTAAAAAACTAGTAAGTATGAAATTTTAGTTATAATTTATTGGCAGTTTCTGGTGTTCTTTTTTTTAAATACTTTTCCCCTTACTACCTAGAAAAACCAGTCTTTGAAATATACTAACAAAGCATAATTATATTTGGCTATCCCTCTTTTTCCATGAGTGACCTTGATTTCTATCTTCTCGAATTCTTAAAAAAGTTTTCTGAAACATAGGAAGTTTTAATTATCCTTAACCATAAGTAAAAAAAGTAATTTTCAGAAAAAATATAAATGGGTCAAATTAAAGCTACATAGTTTATCTATATGAATGGCCCAAATAAACAATAATAAGCATTAGGGCTGTTCGGTGGAATGTTCATTGTGTACGATGTTTGGCATCTTGGGAGAATGAGGCAGCTCCTTGGTGCTAGCAGTGTAATTCAAACTGCCAACATCCATCAAACCACATACCTGATAACCTTCACAGTCATAAAACAGGGCTTTCCTCACATGACCCACTACCAGTAGGTGCATGCTTTCAACTTTGTCTAAAAGTGATACATAATTACTCAAAAGAGTATTATTGCATTTTATTTTTGAATAAAATGTAAAGAATTGTAGTAAATTATCCATTTATGGATATTTGGATTTCAATACACAATTCTGGTTCTATATAACAGAAATATGTATGTAAAAATTATGTATATATATATATATTTGTTTTTACAGGTGAAGGTGATACCACACCTACAATAGTCAATTTAGACCGTAAGTAATCTTTCAAAATAATATATGAGTCTCTATGTGTCAGAAGTGATGTCATTATTTTCTTCATAGAAAAATAACTTATCATTATATAAACTTCCATCATAAAAATAAAATAATCTATTTTATTTTATTTGAACATTTTTTTTCTGTGTGCATGTGTAAAGGTGTTACAAAGGCAACTGCATACTGAATATCAAAATTCAATGTTCTGTCACAAAATATGTTATATTTAACTTTGAAAAAAGCACGTATATTGCTTTTACCTAATTGGGGGCAGAAGGTATCCATTGGACTTTCACCATCCTTTAAATTAAATCAGGATGCTACAGTCAGAAAGAATGAAACCAGAAGGTTGGAAAATTATGCAGTGTCTTTATCCTGCTCTATCTTTAAAGCTCTTTGCATGCTCTACGAGGCAAAAGATGACACAATCTGAGAGGTTCAGTTAATCCTCAGCTTAAGGAAATCTGTTGGGAGCTGCTTGTATCCGATTTTCACACATTTTTTGGGCTGAAGGAAGTTACTCAAATGTTTTGATTTAAGAGACCACCTGCTGTGTCCCAGGCTGAAGAGCAAATGGAAATCTATTTTAGACCATGGACAAGAGTGGAAAGGATAAGGCAAGGAACACCAAGGAGGGTCAGGAAGAAGTTTACTTCAAAGAATTCTAAATTATATCTTTTGGATATAATGATTTAGACATAATTATGTCATTTGGATTAAAATTTCAATTAATATAACTTTGGTAACATGTTGCAAAATGGTTCTACATTCTTACTATACAAATTCATGAGTAATAAACCAAATATAGTTTTTTTATTTTCACTTACGCTATTGCTTTTCATTGACATTTAGAAATAAGCACTGTAAATAACATTGTTCCATTTTATGTTGAGGTTGTTAAGGGAAATACAATTAATGTTAGACCTGAAGAACTTGTACCTAGTGAGCAAAGCCACTCTCACTATCATGGTAATGCTGTTGACCTTGAGTTGATTAGTTTTTCTGTGCTACCCATCTACTTAGATGAGGATAGCAAACATTTTGGGCCTGATTTGGCACTGTAGTTACGCTATTTACCTTCTTTTGTCCAAAATGTTCTTCTGACACAATTACAGTAGTTACATTTGTGTAGTTACCATTGCACTAAAGAAAGCTGACAGGCACGGATTATTTCAAAATGTTTTATCAAAATGTTATGTTTGGTCCTCTTTTTAGATCCTGTAATATCTTGCGCCAAAACAAAACAGTTGCGAGTTGTAAATGGGATTCCAACACGAACAAATGTAGGATGGATGGTTAGTTTGAAATACAGGTAATTATTAATAGACACAAATCATACATATCTGGATTATTTGCAAAAGTTATATTCCCAGCAGTATGGCCACGGGTAGTCGTGCAGGTTGTGCCCTCCACAAGGCACCTGTATGAGGGGGGGCACAAGAGGGGACTAATCACATTCTGCTTGCCAAAAGCCATGGATTTTGCAATTTGTGCCTCCAGAGATGGTGCCATTTTAAATGCTTACAAAGGTCCCATATGTGTTTGCATTGTCCCTGATATGGCACTTCAATTCTCGTAAAGCAAACGACAACTACACAGAGAACCTACCTATACCTTGATATCACCATATAGTTATACTTATGTTGTTAATTTCCCAATCTAGTATATTATGAGATTATTTTTTAACTTGTCTATGCACAATCATATCAAAAATTTTATATTTGTTTTTAATTTCTGACTTTTTGTCATTCTAATGAAAAATAGCAATAATTTAAAATTCTAGGACATTTCATCATTAAGGAAAAGATTAACAATTTATACTGATAGTTGAACAGTCTTGAAATTATAATATTCAGTGTGGATAAAAAAATTCTTGACATGTCTATTTCTCAATGTTGTAAGGATCAATGCCATGTTCTATGTAAAATTTTTCAAAATATACTATTATACAAAATTAAGATTAGTAATTATGTTGTAAGAATTAAATATTGAAAACAGGAGTTAGCTTAAAACCTGATCATACAACTTTCTATGTACTACACATATTGTACTGTATGGTAATCAGAATGTTAAAATATCTTTGTCTATATCTATCTGTATTGGAGCCTCACCATGCAACATACGCCAAAGTGCACCTGAATTCTAGCCACATTTTCCCTTGTTTTCAAGACACCCCATGTTTCTCTCTCCGAGCCTTTGTGCTGTGGTTCCCACTGTATGTTGTAGCTTTCTTCCTCTGTATTTTATGCCTGGAAAATCTTTCATTCTTTAAATACCAACTGTAATATCTCCTCTTTTTGGAAACCCTCCCTGTTCCTTTACCTCTAGCCTCCTAGAATAGAGGAAGAATATCCATTTTTTTTAACCATAACCAAATCACAGTGGCATTAAATTAGAATAGAGACAACTTGAAACTGAAGTGTTTTTTAAATAAGTCAATTCTTAACAAGCATGAAGTTTAAATACTTTGATATATATATGACTTTAGATACCAGGTAGAAGATGGCCTAAAGTTCTCTTTTAGTGTATCTTTCTTCCAAGGAGTAACTCATCAATTTTATAAATATTTATGTTGATAATTGTAGGGTAGCTGTCCTGGGTGTGTAGTACCGAAATAGATTTATGAAACTCACCAGAATATTAAAGCTGCTGTGCAATATGAAGACTTAATGAAGGCTGTAAAACTGGGGGGGGGGTGTTATTTTCTTTATTATAGAAAATGTTCCAAGAATCTACATCTTTGAACTAATTAGAGGATCTTTGCAAATCTCATTACTCGAGAAAAAAAAAAAGGCAAATACTTTTCAATTTATTCTTATTCAAAGGAGACTTCCTTTGGAAGTCACCATCCTTGGAGAAGCAGGTGAAACTGTTTTTCATCAGATCAGAGTAGTATAAACTTTTTTTAAAAAAGTACTTTTCCTTTTAAATGCAAGTTCTTAGTAACAACAGCTGTTTAGCTATTCTTCCAAAACTCACAGAGAGGAATAGAAATTCAAACTCGATATATATTCTTAACCTCCTGTGTGGTACAGGCCATAAATAACTGTGGTCTTAGTCTGGGAATCTTATTCTATTACCCTCTGAAGCACTGAACATCTGTACTCTTTGGAAATGTAAATTGTGAATAGTTGTACTTTTTTCCATGTGTCTGCCAAAAAATAATGGATTTACAGATTTTGGATACATCAAATAAATGTTCTAGTATTTATTATTCTCTACAAATATTTTATAATTTCCTAGATCTCTCTTGCAAAATTGTTTTGATTTTATAAATAAATGTTATATTGTTGGTCTTAAGCTGAACAAACAAATTACTCAAACTCAGTTATACTCTAAGTTAATATATCAGAACTACATAATGGTAATGAAAGAAGGGAATAGCACATAAATATTATATATGGTTACCACCAGATGGTTTTTAGGTTTTAAATAAAAACTCAAATTTGCAGTTTTCATAATCAAACACTGAATTTAAAATAGGTCTAATTATCCTATATTTGTAGCACATACTTTCTCACACAAGAATAGACACACACACACGTGAACATATGTGTTGGGAATGGATCTTCATGTGTAGTGACAGGGTTCCTCATACAAAAATAAAGTTGCTTTCATAAAATTGTAATCACATTATGAAAAAAGTTCTAATGCTATAATCATCAAATATCATCCTTCTGATAAAAGGATTACTCGTTTTATTCTAGTTGGGTTAATGTCTACATTTTTCTCTCAATGTGTTTAACAAATGGAGCCATAGGTTTTGCATTAATTGGCAGGCACCCTTTCTGCACAGAGGTTACTTGTTTCTCTTTCCTCTTTCTCTTAGAAATAAACATATCTGTGGAGGATCATTGATAAAGGAAAGTTGGATTCTTACTGCAAGGCAGTGTTTCCCTTCTCGGTAAAGTATTTCTGAAACCAATATTTGTTTTGAGCATTTAAAAATATGTATGGCTTCCATTTAGCTTTTAGGCTTAAGAATGTGTATTCAACAGAGATTCACCAGCATAGGGTGAACAAATTAATTTCTTTTTTTAGATTTAGCTTATAAAATTTACCTTGACTTAACTGATACTTACTTATGGGTACTACTTCTGTTCACCTCTTTCCACGATTGGCACTACTCTCATTTGAGGAAAAATTTTGCTAGAATTATGTTAATAATTTTTATCCCAACCTCCTTCTTGCACTGTATATTTCTAGATATTCTTTTTCTGAATTATCAACAAACTTCTCTCAATCCTCACTTCTTTCTTATGTAGAACAAGCCTCAGAATAATACTGAGAATAATTTTCAATGGAAATTAGCCTAAGGAAAAAATAAGGAGGTAGCATTTGTAAGCTTACTCCTTGATTCCCATTAAGGTCACATTGATTTTGTTAGTATAAATATTCAATCCCTATTAACAAACCAAACACACACATTTGAGATAAAAAGGAAAATTTGCAATAAATTATAACTCATGTAATGTGCTTTACCTGAGAATGTTTCATAAATGACCTACTCTCTAGCAAAAATAAGCAAGTTTTCAAAAAAAAAAAGCCATTTAGAATTTCAGCAATTTAAAGGTTCTTCCTGCTTATATGTTCTTGTAGTATTCAGAATCTCCCATAACAAATGTGTTGCTCTTTATTATATTTTAAAGTTTAAATTTAGGTTATTTATCTGCCCTTATAAGCTAATATAACAATATATGTGATTAATATTACATATTTTAAAGTTATTTTTTATATTTTAATTTTTTACTTAGAAACAAAGACTTGAAAGATTATGAAGCTTGGCTTGGAATTCATGATGTCCATGGAAGAGGAGATGAGAAACGCAAACAGGTTCTAAATGTTACCCAACTGGTATATGGGCCGGAAGGATCAGATCTGGTATTACTGAAGCTTGCTAGGTGAGTTCCTTTAGATAGTTTCATATTTTTAATATAGACTGGAATTGTTGAAGCTTTTTCTTCAACTATGTTCTTATTCTTTCTCTCTCATGTAGATGTATTATAAAAGCATATGTCACATGGGGTGTGTGTGTGTGTGTGTGTGTGTGTGTGTGTGTGTGTGTGTGTTCAGAGGCAGAGAGAGGGGCATTTTCAAATTTTTCAAAAGTGAATAAATGAAATTGGACCAACAGTATGATCAGCCTGCTCTAAAACCAAAGGTTAGTGAGCAATTATATGATAACTTTAACAGGTAAAATAATGATTAAAAAAATAGCAGTGACCATTTGTTCTTAAATATTTGTAAGTAAATATTCATTTCTCTACTACCTACTCCGAAGCACAATTGTTTATTCTCTCTAAATGAATCATATTAAACATTCACACTACATTTTAATATGTTAATTTTGTGTTGAATCCAATCAAGGTTACTTACCACTATATTTTCTCTTTTCAGGCCTGCTGTTCTGGATGATTTTGTTAGTACAATTGATTTACCTAATTATGGGTGCACAATTCCTGAAAAAACCACTTGCAGTGTTTATGGCTGGGGCTACACTGGATGTAAGCTATTTCTAGAAAGATAAGGCAATATCATATGTATTTTGTAAAAATATTTTGTATTTCTTTATTTTTCTCACCTTACCCTGCGCTCATTAACTGTACATATTTTGCGCCATTCTAGTGATCAACTCGGACGGTCTATTACGAGTAGCACATCTCTATATTATGGGGAATGAGAAATGCAGCCAATATCATCAAGGGAAGGTGACTCTGAATGAGTCAGAAATATGTGCTGGGGCTGAAAATATTGTATCAGGACCATGCGAGGTAAAGACAGATATTTTTATGTAAGGAGTATGTGATGGATAGCATAGTTTCTTGTGTTTATATTTTCTATTTTTCTCAAATGAGAACCATTATAAACCAACCTGTTCTAAGAGAGAGGAATTGAAAAAGATAACCCTTATTATCCTTGTACAATTTTTTAGCTAAATAGTGAAGCAATCCATGTTTCATTAGCAGCAAACTAAGATGACATTTGTCTCTCAAGAAACAAGAAAAGAATACAGCCAAAACTCTAAGAGAAAGCTGTTCAAATTAGAAGTATCCAATATGCAGTTTGATACAATAGCTTGCATTTTTCTAATGTTTTTCTAAATGTATCTGATCTTCCCAAATTCTAACTTAACTCTATTAATTTTAATAAGAGATACATGCCTGCTTTTAAACTTTTAAATATGTTTTTGGTTAAGCCAGTGTGTGTATGTGTGTGTGTGTGTGTGTGTGTGTGTGTTTAAACAAATTCTATTTAAAAAACCAAAAGGTCAAAGTTTATGATTTTAAGAGCTTGGACATTTTCATTTGTTAAGCAACTGTTCTTTCCACTTGGCAGTGTTCCTATCCCTGTTTCACATAGACAAGCTGTTAAACTGTTTTTGATGTTTTTCAGTTAAAGAATTTTAAAATTGCATTAAAATAATACGATTAAAAACTGATTATGTGTTTATAACCACTTTCAAATCTGGTGTTTTTTCCAGTAAATCAGTATCACTAAGGTTTTCATCACAAATGAAAATCTACTAGGAGAAAGAATTATTTATTTATCTGTTTGTTTACTTATTACTGAGTTCTGTAAACACCAAGTTTTGAGCTAGACCAGATCTTTGAGATATTTAGAAAGCTTGCACTTATCCCAGCCCTACTGCCATTACTACTTTGACATCTGCTCTTCAGGAATAGCCTATAATCTGGTTTGTCATCTATACATTCTTAGATTCCTAACTTTAGCACTGAAAAATTTATCACATAGTTATTTTTATCTATATAATCAATCAAATTGATTCAGCCACTTCTCAAAAATGCACTCATCCTCCAGGATTTTTTTTTTTTGCATCACTGATATTTGAAACAGGGTAATATAATAATCAAACCAGGGAAATCTAGACACCTAAAAAAATCTCCTAAACATTTGTATAATAGCAATAGCATCACATTTAGTGAAAGTCCCTCAAAATCAATTCTCAAAATGAATTGATTTGAAGAGTTCATATCAGTAATCACTGGTGCATTAATTTAAAAACCAGATTAACAGGGCTTCCCTGGTGGCGCAGTGGTTGAGAGTCCGCCTGCCGATACAGGGGACACGGGTTCGTGCCCCAGTCCGGGAAGATCCCACACGCTGCGGAGCAGCTGGGCCCGTGAGCCATGGCCGCTGAGTCTGCGCGTCCGGAGCCTGTGCTCCGCAACAGGAGAGGCCACAACAGTGAGAGGCCCGCGTACCGCAAAAAAAAAAAAACAAAACAGATTAACACCTGTGGCAGAGTTTATATGAAGTCTCTTTGAATAAACTATTTTCCTTAGTGTTTTATCTTCTATTTCACCCCCACCTTGATTTTCTCTGTCACAGAATGTTAATAGCTCTCTTCTTTCCACCTGTATTACAGAACTAAATTTTGCAGTAGTTTAGTTTTATCTCATCACATCAGTACTGGGGGAAAATTAAGATAGTCGGAAGCACTCTTCTGAATACAAAGATGCCAAAAATTAGTCACTGCAATCCTAGGAAGGCTACATGGCCCAAAAAAGTGATGCAGCATTTTTTAATGATTATATATAACAATATGTATAAACATATATGTATATAAAAATATACACACGAATCATTTTATCAATCTATTCATCTTTCATCTATCACCTATCTATATATGATGATACAACAGGATTACCATACAAGAAATGCCATGAAGTCACAGACTACCTTCCACAAAGGGGAAAAAAATATAAATATAACTATATTAACTACTAAGACTAAGTGGAGAAACATTCCTTCTTTCTGCCTGGGAAAGCAATTTCCACATAGTAAACAGAATTATTTTACCACCTACAAGTTTTTATTTAACTGTTAAAATCATTCTGGGGGCAGGATTGAGGGAAAGGAAAAAAATTAGAAATAAGAGAAAACTTAATGTGGGTTAATCCTTAAAACTGTATGATTACAGGTGAGTTTTTGATACGTGTATTTTTCTACATTTTCCAAATTTTCTATATTGAACATACTTTGACCATCAGAAGTAAGTCAAAATAAATATGAAATCTACCTTCTTAAAGAGCTATCAATGGTCACGTGTTAATTAGTCTGCATTCAACAAAGGCAAAAAACACTTTAAAACGTGAGTCCTACTTAAATGATAACTACACATGATAGAACACTTTGAACTTTTGTACTTATCTCAGTCCAACAGAAAGACAACCAATGGCCTAGTACATCAATTTTATGTCTTCATATTTCAATGGAAGTTATTCTCTTGTTTTGCATATATGTATATTTGAGATATAAATCGATACAGGAAATGTTAATGAATTGTCAAGTTTTATTTCTAAAATAATACTTTGTTGTTGTTATTGTTGCATGTCTTCTTCCTAGGGAGATTATGGTGGCCCACTGGTTTGTGAACAACATAAAATGAGAATGGTTCTTGGTGTCATCGTTCCTGGTCGTGGATGTGCCATTCCAAATCGTCCTGGTATTTTTGTCCGAGTGGCATATTATGCAAAATGGATACACAAAATTATATTAACGTATAAGGTACCACAGTCGTAGCTGATGTAACTGTGTCTGAAGCTTCCAATAATACAACTCTCCTTTACATGAAGATTTCAGAGAACATGGAATTAAAATGTAACTTAAAAAATCCCAAGACAACTACTTGAGTGTCATGTTTGTTAAGATACTCACTAATATTTATGGGTGTTTTCTGTTGTTTCGTTTGTCAGTGTTATTTTGTAAATGTTGAAGTGAATTAAGGTACATGCAAGTGTAGTAACATATCTCCTGAAGATACTTGAATGGATTAAAAAATGCAAAGGTATAACTGCTGGATGCTAAAGATATAATGGAAAAGATCAACTAATCTCTCTCGGCTGCTTTCCAAGGTTAGTTTCTCAATAATAAATAAGCCATAAGTTAAACATTATTTCAACCTCACAAAAACAATTTATATCTTGTGTCCTTAAATTGTAACTCTATATTAAATTATATTACCTTTAATATGCCATACATTATATTTCATTCATTTCTCCTCACCATGTATCCTGTAATACTGGTACATATACTCCTTTATAAACACATATACCTATACACAAATGCCTGGGTACACATGTGCATGCACTACAGTTCAAATTGTAGTGTATCTAATATAGCCCCTAAATGTTCTGAAATTGTGTACTTATAGTTTTTCCTTAATAAAAATATAAAAAATTCTAAAGACCAGTAGAAATATTAAAGAAAGGTGCAAGATAGAAGTGACTAGATCATCCTCCATCCATAATCTGCAGATGACCTCTACTGGTTGGCACGTGAGGTGTGGTCATGACCTACGAAATTAAATAACACCTAACCTAGGTTCTTACATATATTTATTATCCAAGTTATTTTATGTAGTTTCTAATTCTTAAAGAGAAGAGGCTAATATGTGTAGTAGTATTATTTCTTTCCTTCAAATTTAGGGACAATTATTTATGCAAGATGTTTTTAGATCTTTTTTCCTAAAGTATTTAAAAAATTCTGAGATGACTAATTGAAGTTTAAAAGTGTTTTGGTCTTTAAAATGTATGTAAATATGTTAACTCTAAGACTTGCTGCTGTGATTGGCTTCTATCTCACCTTCTTTAAATTAAAAACAATATTTAAGAGGAAAATTTCCATGTCTCCAAAATTTGTAAACAGCTTTTCATCAAATTATGCATTAAAATATATATTGAAGAAAGAAGTCAGAACACTTTTCTCTACCTGGAAGTCTTTTAGCCTAATAAAACTTTAGTCAAGTAAAGGAAAAAAAATGTAAAAGGAAAGGAAAGGAACTAGCTTGTCTAAACTCTGTATTCAGTTATTTTTTAAAGTACAGTTAAATCTGCTGAATGAGATATTTTATCAAAAATATCTTCATTTTATCTTTATTTTACATAGATCTTTCCTAATGCATGGGAAATATTCAGATTTTGTATTCTGTATGATAACAACCAAATCATACTTATTGTTGTATTAGTCATGATTAGCTAAAGATCATGTATTTGCCAAGAAATGAAATAACAAAGAGTAATAGGATAGGTCTGAATTTTCACAAAATATTCCTGTATAAAAGTTCTCTAAAAATAATTATTTGAATATTTTGAATCTAGTATTTCCATTTCTCTAATTTGTTTCTTTTGGATGGTCTCAATTAAGGCCAGGGATTCAAATGATGCTCTAAATTCTCCCTAAGACAATGTTCAATCTTGAGTAAAACGGTTTTAACTTTACTCAAGAGCTTAGTCCACAGAGTATAGGGCAGCAAATCCAGAAATGTTTTTCCAAATTGTGCCATTTTATTTATTTATTCTCTGTCATAAGATACGTGCTGGTATCAAGAAACAGTGAAAGCAAAGAGAGATCCAACAAGTTGCTAGTCCATACCAGCTTACCTGATTGTATTTCTCTCTCCCTTGTGTACTATACCATTATAATCAACATACAGAAATTTCAAAGGCATATTGTCTAAATATTAAAGTATTTTTCAGTTTCTTCTTGCTAAATGGCAAAATTTTATTGTCACATATTAATGATATTTGTAAAACATTTACTGAATTGTAGTTCTTTTAAATACTCACATTTTAAAATATTTCTTTTATGTCTTTTCCTCTAAATTTCCACAGAGAGATAGGGATGACCTAGATACAAAATGAAGCTAACTTTATAGACATTTTGAACTCAGTGTTTTCCATTTTATTAAAGGGTAAAAACAAGACCACCAATAAACCATCAGACGTGTAAAATGCAGTTCTTTCTTTGAGAGTTTCCTTTTAATAGGAGGAGATTGATGGAATTGATAATAAAAGCAAGATGAACAAGACCCATGTTATTTTAGGTGGTACAACAGGGAATAATCATGTCATTTTTCTCTGGTGAAAGATACTATTTCCTGGGCATTCTTTTCTTAATAAACTACAAAAAAAAATAAATAATCCAATTTATCTAAAAATCCATTTCGAGTCACGGAAAAAAGATCTTTTAAATTAGAAGTTTTCAACGTTATTTCTATTTTGGCTGTTTGAATAATGGTTATATGCTGTTATAATTGTGGACATTTTCTTATGTCTACCAGGAATAGTAATGTAAAATTAAAATATTTGTCATAATGCCTCTGCCGTGCAGAAGGGATGATAATCCTTTTGTATACTTCTTTAATTTTATTGTAAAATGTGTAATGACTTTTACCTATCTGCTGTGGGCAGGTCCTCAGTACAATGGTTTATATTGAGTCAATCTCTAGTATTAACAGGCTCTTGCTTGCTATCTAAGTGTTTCAAACTATGGGAAATGTGAGACACTGGAAGGCAAGAAAAATAACAATAATGACATGTGATAGCAAAATTGTATTTCACTTATTCCTGTGAATATTTCTTGTTGGTACCAATGGTACTGTACAAAGTGAATGTTATAGCCACAATATTCTCTTGAAAAAAACACTGTCAAGAAATAAGAAATTGCTGTCAGGAATTTTCTTGTTGTTTCTAAACATTTTTTAAAAAGAAATAATGGTTTTGCAATATAGGGATCATGAGGTAAAGAATTTTAGTAAACTCTCATACTAAAAAACTTTTAAATTGACTTGGTCCAAAAAAGAACTACTTTCAATCAATTATATCCCATATTTATAGACAAACTCGTTTGAGAAATAAAGGTATTTTAAATAAGATATAGTCTTTATGTGAATAAATTACTTCTCACAATAAAATCCAATAAGAATTTATCTTTCAACGTTCAACTGAATTTTCAGCTAAGAATTTACTAATACAAAAAAAGATGTTAAAATTCTCTGGACCCTGTAAATCTTGACAGTGTAATTTTAAGTAGGTTCATTTCCATTTGCACAGAAAGTTTCTGTCTTTAGGAAACTGAAAATGGAATACTGTGGATGTTATGACTGTCTTGTGTGTAAATAGGAAATAGATAATCTGCCTATTGAGTGGTATAGCTGGACGCTTACCCAAAAGGGGAACACTGTGGTTATGACGTGTATATACATTTTCTGTAGTTAATAAAGTTGTTATTTTTATAACCATGATTATTTTATTATTAATAATAATAAAATATTTTATCAAAATGCTCTTTTTCTTATTTTAGTTATATACATGGATATATTTGAATCTGCTCTAGAGCCTAACGCAGAAAACAACAATGATCTCATTGACAGAAATAACATATACTTTGTTGCAAGAAATGTCATGTAACCTGTCTATAGAACTAAGACAAAAAAATATTATTCTATTCCAACTTGTATCTATGGTAATATCAGTGGTCTTCAGTAAACTATTAATCTCTATGCACTTCAGTTTCTCCCATTGCAAAATATAATTATTCATTCTTCATATTTGCTAGAGTGGTGCTATGATATAATTTGCTTATAAATATATATATATATATATATATATATATATATATAGTGTCATCATGAATGATCATCTGAATTTCTTTACCATATCACTATATATTACAAAGGGAATTATAATTCAATTAATCAATTTGGAATATATCTTCAAAATATGCATTAAATTCAGAATAAATATGAATCAAATTCACTCATTTCATTCAAATTGGAAGCAAAATTGGAAGAACTAATTATAAACTGATCTAAACAAAAAGAATTCTGTAACACCATTGCCTATTTCAAGTTATATTATACTGCCTCTCCCTCCAAAAGGTTGCTTGGGCTTCCCTGGTGGCGCAGTGGTTGAAAGTCCGCCTGCCGATACAGGGGACAGGGTTCGTGCCCCGGTCCGGGAAGATCCCACAGGCCGCGGAGCGGCTAGGCGCGTGTGCCATGGCCAGTGAGGCTGTGCGTCCAGAGCCTGTGCTCCCGCAACGGGAGAGGCCACAACAGTGAGAGGCCCGCGTACCGCAAAAGAAAAAAAAACCAAAACGTTGCTCTACTAATTTTTCTGGCATAGATACTTATCTCAAGTGATGATTAATGTATCTAATTCTAGAGCCCATTATAAAATACTTAATCTTCTTGATGATTATGGTCCAAGCAGAATATATGTACTCAATCTTTTTTGGTGTCAGTAAGAATATTTCAAATGTATATCCTGTTCGATTTTTCTAAATTTTGATTTTTTTACACTCTTTTCTAAAACTCCATTCTATCCTAAACCTATACTGTGCTATTTCCCCCATGATCCCTTACCCACCCCCACTAACCCAGCAACAACATTAATTTTTTCTCTGTATTTATGACTGTTTCTGTTTTATTATGATTGCTCATTTATCTTTTTTTTTAGAGTCAACGTATAAGTGAAATCATACAGCATTTGTCTTTCTCTATCTGACTTTCTCTATCTGACTTTCTCTATCAGATAGATACCCTGGATACCCTCAGGGTCTATCCATGTTGTTGCAAAAGGAAAGATTTCATTCCTTTTTTTACAGCTGAGTAATATTCCATGGTATATATATATTTACGATTTCTTCTTTATCCATTCATCTATCCATGGGCACTTAGGTGGCTTCCATATCTTGTCTATTGTGAATAATGCTATAATGAACATAGGGGTGCATATTTTTTTGAATTACTGTTTTCATTTTATTTGGATATATACCCAGGAGTGGAATTGCTGGATCGTATGTTAATTCTGTTTTTAATATTTTGAGGAACCTCCACACTGTTTTCCATGATGGCTGTAAAAACTTACATTCCCACCAACGGTGCATGGGTGTTCCCTTTTATTCACATTCTTGGCAAGTCTTGTTATATATAATCATTTTGAAAATGGACATTTTGACAGGTGTGAGGTGCTATCTCAATGTAGTTTTGATTTGCATTTTCCTGATGATTAGTGATATTGAGCATCTTTTCATGTGCCTGTTGGACGTCTTCTTTGGAAAAATGTCTATTCAGGTCCTCTGCCATTTTTTAATCAGGTTGTTTGTTTTTCTGATGTTGAGTTGAATGAGTTCTCTATATAGTTTGGATTTTAACCCCTTATCAGATACATCATTTCCAAATATCTTCTCCTATTCAGTTGGCCTTTTCATTTTGTTGATCGTTTACTTCACTGTGCCAAAGCCTTTTAGTTTGATGGAGTACCGTTTGTTTATTTTTGCTTCTGCTTCCCTTGAGGACATATCAAAAAATATTGCTAAGATCCATGTGAAAGACACACTGCCTATGTTTTCTTCTAGAAGTTTTATGGTTTCAGGCCTATGTTTAAGTCTTTAATCCATTTTCAGTTTATTTTTGTACATGATGTGAGAAAGTAGTCCAGTTTGATTCTTTGGCATATAGCTGTCCAGTTTACCCAACACCATTTATTGAAGGGGCTGTTCTTGCTTCCTTTGTCATTGATTAATTGACCGTATAAGCGTGGGTTCATTTCTGGGGTCTCTGTTCTGAACCATTGGTCTATGTGTCTTTTTCTGTGCCAGTACCATACTCTTTTGATTACCATTACTTTGTAGTATAGTTTGAAATCATGCAGGACTGTACCCCCAGCTTTGTTTTACTTTCTCAAGATTGTTTTGGCTATTTGGGGTCTTTTGTATTTCCATACAATTTTAGAATTATTTGTTAATTTTATATCCTGCAACTGTACTAAATTCATTTATTAGTTCAGATAGCTTTTTACTGGTGTCTAAGGGTTTTCGATATCTAGTATCATGTCATCGGCAAATAGTGACAGTTTTACTTCTTTCTGTCCAGTTTGGTTTCCTTTTACTTCTTTTCTTCTCTGATTGCTGTGGCTAGGACTTCCAATACTATGTTGAATAAAAGTGGCAGAAGTGGGCACCCTTGTTTTGTTCCTAATCTTAGAAAAAATGTTTTCAGTTTTTCACCATTGAGTGTGATGTTGGCTGTAGGTTTGTCATATATGGCCTTTACCATGTTGAGGTATTTCCCTCTACCCATTTCGTTAAGAGTTTTTATCATAAATAAATGTTGAATTTTGGCAAAGCTTTTTCTTCATCTACTGAGATGATCATATGATTTTTATTCTTTAGTTTGTTAATGTGGTATGTCACGTTGACCAATTTGTGGATATTGAATCATCCTTCTATCTCTGTGATAAATCTCACTTGATCATGGTATATAATCCTTTTAATATAGTGTTGAACTCAATTTGCTAATATTTTGTTGAGGATTTTTGCATCTATGTTGATCAGTGATATTGGCCTGTATTTTTTTTTTCTTCATGGTGTCTTTGGTTTTGGTATCAGAGTGGTGCTGGTCATAGAATGATTTCAGAAGTGTTCCTTCCTCTTCAATTTTTGGGAATAGTTTAAGGAGGATAAGTATTAATTGTTTAACTGTTTGGTAGACTTCACCTGTGAAGCCATCTGGTCCTGGACTTTTTTTGTTGGGGATTTGTTTTTTATTACTGATTCAAAGCCATTACTGGTAATTGGTCTGTTCATATTTTCTATTTCTTCTGATTCACTTTTAGGAGATTGTCTGTTTCTAGGAATTTATCCATCTTTTCGAGGTTGTCCATTTTATTGGCATATAATTGTTTGTAGTAATCTCTT